TACAGAATAAATCTTCTGTGTTTTAAATCATAGAGCATAACAAAATAAAACATGGTTACTTCACCATAACATAAGCTTCTTTGCACTTTCACAATATGTCAGTGAAATTCTTCCATCTTTCACTGCATCTCTGACACAATTATATTTTATGTCAACATGTTTACTCCTTTGTTTAACCCTTGCTTGTTTAGCCATCAAAATGCAAGTTTGATTGTCTTCAAAAATATTTGTTGGTTCTCCAACAGGAATCAATAGATCCCTCAATAGTTGTTTTAACACACATGACTCTGTGTATGCTTGAGAAAGAGCACCAAACTCAGGTTCACTCGAACTCAAAGCCACAAAACTTCGTTTCTTAGATTTCCAGTCTATGACTGCACCACTAAGCATAAACAAAATCCCAGTTGTTGATTTCCTATCTGGACTATTTCTGAAATCACTATCTACATAGCCTTCTAGAATTAGTGAATCGTCAGGATTCAAAACTAAACAAAAATTTTGGGTCTCTCTCAAATATCTCAGTAATCTCTTAAGACCATTCCATGCTGCTGTGGTTGGATTATTAGTATACCTGCTCAAGAAATTTACAGAGAAAGCAATATCAACACGGGTGTAAATACTTATATACAACAATTGTCCAATTACACTTTTGTATAAATCCCTCTGTTGAATTGGCTCAGCATTTTCAACCTCATTCTGAAATCCTAAAATCATAGGTGATTGAGCACCTTTGCAATCTTCCATTCTCATGGTTTTTAACACATGCAATATTTTCCCTTTCTGACTTAACATAAAACCTCCTTGCTCAGTTCTCATGATGTGTAACCCCAGAAAGTAATGTATTAGCCTAAGATCTTTTATCTGGAACTGTTGCTTTAACTCCTCAGCAAAATGGTTAATCTCTTTATCACTCTCAGCAATAAAGCAAAGGTCATCAACATATACTAAAAGAACTTGATAATCGCAATTATTTATTTATTTATTTATTTATTTATTTATTTGATGCATTTATTAACCGCCATTCTCAGCCCTCCAGGGTGACTCATGGCGGTGTACAGTATAAAAGGCAGTTTACAAAAAGGCAATTACAACAACTCATCAGCAATACAACAATACAACAATCATAAAATTACACTAACTAATCCGCTTCGTCTCGTAGTAGAATCGTAACCAATCTCGTATTCCTTGTTCCATTCCAGTCATCTTTACCACATTATTATAGCACTTAATTAAATGCCCTCTCGAATAGCCATGTCTTAAGGCTTTTTCGGAAGGACATAAGGGAGGGCGCCTGCCTGATGTCTGTAGGGAGAGTGTTCCACAGCCGGGGGGCCACCACTGAGAAGGCCCTCTCTCTCGTCCCCGCCAGGCGTGCCTGTGAGGCAGGCGGGATCGAGAGAAGGGCCTCCCCAGACGATCTCAAGGTCCTCGTGGGCTCATAGGCCAAGATGCGGTCTGAAAGGTATTTTGGGCCGGAGCCGTTTAGGGCTTTGTAGGACAACACCAGCACCTTAAATTGGGCCCGGTAGCAAATCGGCAGCCAGTGGAGCTGGGACAACAAGGGTGTTGTGTGCTCCCTGCGTCCCGCTCCTGTTAGTTGGCTGCCGCGCGTGACCAGCTGAAGCTTCCGGGCCATCTTCAAGGGCAGCCCCACGTAGAGAGCGTTGCAGTAGTCAAGCCGGGATGTGACCAGAGCGTGTACCACCGTGGCCAAGTCAGACTTCCCGAGATACGGGCGCAGCTGGCGCACGAGCCGGAGCTGTGCAAATGCTCCCCTGGTCACCGCTGAAACCTGGGGATCCAGGCTCAACGATGAATCCAGGGTCACACCCAAGCTGCGAACCTGCGCCTTCAAGGGGAGTGCGACCCCATCCAGCACAGGCTGTAACCCTATATCCCGTTCGGCCTTGCGACTGACCAGGAGTACCTCTGTCTTGTCTGGATTTAATTTCAGTTTGTTCGCCCTCATCCAGACCATTACAGCGGCCAGGCACCGGTTCAGGACCTCGACAGCCTCCTTAGTAGCAGGTGGAAAGGAGTGACAGAGTTGGACATCATCTGCGTACAGATGACACCGCACCCCGAAACTCCGGATGATCTCACCCAGCGGCTTCATGTAGATATTAAACAGCATGGGGGACAGTATGGAACCCTGTGGAACCCCACAAGTCAAAGGTTGTGGCGTAGAACAGGAGTCCCCCAACAACACCTTCTGGGTGCGGCCCTCCAGGAATGAGTGGAGCCACTGCAAAGCAGTGCCCCCAAGGCCCATTTCCGCAAGGCGCCCCAGAAGGATACTGTGGTCGACAGTATCGAAGGCCGCTGAGAGGTCCAGGAGCACCAACAGGGACACACTCCCCCTGTCTAGCTCCCGGCGCAGATCATCCACTAAGGCGACCAAGACCGTCTCGGTACCATGTCCCGGTCTGAAGCCAGACTGTGCCGGATCCAGATAATCCGTGTCTCTCAAGAATACCTGGAGTTGTGAGGCCACCACGCTTTCCATATAGCTATTAGCAGCTTCATGGAGAGAAATAGGCTATGGAATCAAAGAATTCTATAGTTGGAAGGGACCTCCTAAGAGCTATCCGGTCCAACCCCCTTCTGCCATAAAGGAAATGCAAAATCCGATCCCTCCCAACAGATGGCCATCCAGCCATCAATACCATTGAGAGATATGATATAGAGATGTAGATTCCTAGAGTTGGAAGGGACCATCCATTTTGCCATAAAGGAAGACACAATCTGATCCCTCCTGACAGATAGCTGTCCACCCTCTGCTTCAAAAGCCTCGAGGGAGGGAGGCTCTGCTGTCTTTGCCGGGGAGCAAAGGATGCAAGCGAATATTTGCTATCTGAGTGGCTCTGCTGACAAGCTCATCCACCAAGATCTCTGATGCTCCCGAGCGCTGACCCCTGTCCGGAGGAGCCCCCCCTTCCCCCCAATTGACCTTTAATATCTCCTCTCCCCCCCTCAGGGCAGGACATCCAGCCCAAGCGGGACTTGACGCGTTTTGTGAAGTGGCCGCGCTACATCCGGCTCCAGCGCCAGAGGGCCATCCTCTACAAGCGGCTCAAGGTGCCCCCCGCCATCAACCAGTTCACCCAGGCCCTGGACCGCCAGACAGGTAAAGCCATGTTGTATCAATATGATATTATTTCTCTGTCGGGCATGGGCCAAATTCTACACAAATACTCAATATGCCCAAATGTGAACACTGGCGGAGTTTGGGGAAAATAGAATCTTGACATTTGGGAGTTGTAGCTGCTGGGATTTATAGTTCACCTACAATCACAGAGCATTCTGAACCCCATCGACGATAGAATTGGGCCAAACCTCCCACACAGAACCCCCATGTAGGCCACAGCAACGAATGGCAGGGGATGGCTAGTATTATATATAATAACAACACTACGTAACACAATTTTTGGTACTTATTTACAACATTTATATGCCACTCTTCTCACCCCGAAGGGGACTCAGAGTGGCTTACAAGATATATAGGAAGACCGACAGGTCGCAGGTTCGAATCCGTGGAGAGACGGATGAGCTCCCTCTATCAGCTCCAGCTCCTCATGCGGGGACATGAGAGAAGCCTCCCACAAAGATGATAAAAACATCAAAATCATCCGGGCATCCCCTGGGCATGGTCCTTGCAGACGGCCAATTCTCTCACACCAGAAGCAACTTGCTTCTCAAGTCGCTCCTGACATGACAAAAAAAATCATTATATTGTACTATACCATTATATTGTAATATTATTAGTATTACATGTAATATAAATATAAAATTATAATATATTATTAATATTGTATTGCATTACAATATTATATTGTAATGCAATATAACATAATATATTATTACAATATTATATTGTAATGCAATATAATATTATAATATTACAATATTATATTATATTATTAGTATTACATGTAATATAAATATAAAATTATATTAATATTACATTGCATTACAATATTATAATAATAGAAATGATTTATTATATAATATATTTATATTATTATTTTAATCTATATAAATTTGTTTAAGATTACACTATGTCACATGATTTTTCTTCTTGGATTATCAGTGTCATTATTTCCTAATTGGTTCTATCATTAAAATAGTTTATTAAACTGCCAATGCTTTGTTTTTGGGGTCTGCACAAAAGGTTTAGAATGACATGTGAAAGTTGGCAGCCAAGAAAAACAAATTTTCTGGAGTAGAGCAACTCCTTTCAAAGTAAGGACCGCACAATGAAACAGGAAATCACACTTTCAAACCAGGAACAGAATTTGTTTTCAATCTGGGTCGTAATAATCGCGCAAAGGGGAAATGGGTGCAGACGATGCCAAGAGATATTTGCTATCTGAGCTGCCTTGATGACTCTCGGCCACCAAGATCTCTGATGCGCCCGCCCCTCGGCCTTGCTGGGAAGCCATGGGTGGTGATGGGGGTGTCTGTTTTTTGCCTTTTGTTGTTGATATGTTTGATGGACTAATCAGTAAACAGATCTACCCACTGAATGGGTTGTGTCTTTTAGCCGTCCAGCTCCTGAAGCTGGCCCACAAGTACCGGCCGGAGACTAAGCAGGAGAAGAAGAAGCGGCTGGTGGCCCGGGCTGAGCAGAAGGCAGCCGGGAAGGGGGACGTCCCCACCAAGAGGCCCCCCGTCCTCAGGGCAGGTGGGCGAGCAGGGGACGAGTCTTAAGCGTCCCTAACATTGTTATTTTGTATACGCAAACACTTGCAGGCCAAGGTCCCCGAGTTACAAGCTTCTGACTCGCAGGCGGCTCCTAGTTCAGAACAATGGGGCTGAGACCACAGGAAGGGAGGGGAATATTTTATATTATTGTGTTATTAGTATTATTATATATATTATTTATTAATAGTTTTATTATATTATTTAATTTTAAATATACACAGGCCATTCCTGAGTTATAAACATCTGACTCACAAGCGACTCCTAGTTGAGAGCAACAGAAAGGAGAGAAATGTTATATATTATTAGTATTACTATGTTGTTGAATGCCGGAATCATGGCCAGAATCACTGGGTTGTTGTGTGTTTTCTGGGCTGAATGGCCATGTTCCAGAAGCATGCTCTCCTGACGTTTCACTTGCATCTATGTCAGGCATCCCAGTATTATAATAGTCTATTATTTTAATAATATTATATAGTATTAGCATTTGTTTTTAAAGTGTTGTTCCTAAGAGAAAGGCGGGGAATAAATAAGAGAGTTAATAAATCTTATTAATATAATTGTTACGGCAATGATGTATGAATTTCTTCACCTGAACTGCAGACTGAAGAGCAAAAATTAACGAGCTTTTTAACCCTGAGCCGTAGCAAAAATGCCCTGGAAGAGAGGCCAATGATGAACACAAATGGTTTCAAATTTAATGGCAAGGTTGCTGTTCTTTTTTTTCTTCTGGGCCTTAATAATGTGGCCTTTTCCCACATTTTTTTAGGGGTCAACACGGTGACCACGCTGGTGGAGAACAAGAAAGCCCAGCTGGTGGTCATTGCGCATGATGTGGACCCCATTGAGGTAAGAGAGAAAAAGCAGGCAACTGTTAGCTCAAAAATAAGACCTACTTTAGGATGCGCATCATATAAGCCAAAACGAAGTCCCCCAGTTAAGGTCAAAGTCAACTTTGTTTTTTGATTATGATAATCATAATCTTATAATAATTGATATAAAGTGGGGTATATATTTGATAATATATTGTTTATATTGTTATTGATGATAACCTTAAAATAATATTTTCTGGGTGAAATATTGTATCCACTTCCAGCTCAGCTGCTGCAATGATGTGTGAATTTCTTCACCTGAACTACTCCATGAAGATCAAAACCATACGAGCTTTTTAACCCTGAGCAGCAGCCGGAGCCCAGGAGGCGGCTTCCTTGTAGTGGAGGCCTGGAAGCCGAGGCTGGGCATCTGTCTGTTGGGAGGGCTTTGATTGTGCCTTTTCTGCAAGGCAGAATAAAGGGGGTAGGGCTGCATACCCCATGTGGTCTCTTCCAACTGTTATTATGATAGTGCTTTTCCTGCATAGCATAAGGGGGTTATTGTAATTATCATCACCATTAGGATTATTGAGGCTGTTGGCCACCTGTCGGGTGGGATTTGATGGTGCTTTCCCTGCCAGGCAGAATAAAGGGGAGTGGACTAGATGGCCCATGGAGTGTCTTCCAACTCTATTATTACTATTATCATTAGTGTTATTGAGGCTGAATGTCCATCTGTTGGAGGGGCTTTGATTGTGCTTTTCCTGCATGAAGGCAGAAGGGGGTTGGACTAGGGTTGTGCCTGTTGTTTTTATGTAAGCTGGATGGCCATCTGTTGGGGGTGCTTTGTGTTTTTCCTGCATGAAGGCAGAAGGGGGTTGGACTAGATGGCTCCTGGGGTTGTGCCTGTTGTTTTTATGTAAGCTGGATGGCCATCTGTTGGGGGTGCTTTGATTGTGTTTTTCCTGCATGGTTGAATAAAGGGGGTTGGGCTGGATGGTCCTTGAGATCTCTTCCAACTCTATTATTATTTACTATTAATATTGATGTTATGGAGGCAGGATGGCTATCTGTTGGGGGTGCTTTAATGGTGCTTTTCCTGCCTGGCAGAATAAAGAGTTGGACTAGATGGCCCTTACGATGATCAGTGTTAGTTTTATTGAGGCTGGATGTTCCTCTGTTGGGGGTGTTGGAAGGTGCTCTTCCTGTTGGGCTGAATAGCCCTTGGAGTCTCTTCCAACTCTGTTAGTATTACTGAGGCTTGATGTCCATCTGTGGGGAGTCCTTGGTTGGTGCCTGCATAGCAGAAGGGGGTTGGACCGGATGGGTAGCCTCTAGAGGTCCCTTGCACCTCTAGGGTTGGCTGCCCAGACTCCCATCATGCCAAGGGCCCTTCTGCTGTGTCTTTCAGCTGGTGGTCTTCCTGCCCGCCTTGTGCCGGAAGATGGGGGTGCCCTACTGCATCATCAAGAGCAAGGCCCGGCTGGGGCGCCTCGTCCACCGCAAGACCTGCACCTGCCTGGCCTTCACCCAAGTGAACCCGTGAGTGGCCCACCAAAGAGCCATTGCAGGGCCATGCCGTGCATTCCTGCCGCTGAGCCTTTGTCATTTCCTTTGCAGGGAGGACAAGGGAGCCTTGGCCAAACTGGTGGAAGCTGTCAAGACCAATTACAACGAGAGATACGACGAGGTAAGGGCAAAGCCTCCGTTCCTACGTCTTCAAATTAGAAAAGAATGGGGAAATCTCCAGTTTCTCCAGTTTTCAACACTATGAAATCTTTTTCTGGAGAAAACCAGAAATAACTCTTCTTCCGGAAGTATATTTTGTCCCTTGGAGAACTTGCCTTGCAATTTTGAGATGCAGAATAATGCCGCCTATTATTATTATTATTATTATTATTATTATTACCATCAATATTCTTTTCTATGATTATCCTTTCTATCCCGCTTTTTCTCCCTAAACAGAAACTCATTTCATTCTAAGGAAATGCTGGTTGCTCACCTGTAACCATGTTTCTTTGAGTTGTGAACTGTGAAATTAGCACATATGATAGTTGCTACACAGGGGCATCAATTACCATCGTGTGCTCATTTCCACAGACACAACATAGGAGGAAAAGTCCCCATTGGGGAGGTAGGGTGGGGGGATATAAATCAAATGTATTAAAGTGTATTGTAAGTTATAATAAAATAATAAAACTTTATATACTGCTCTATCCCAATGATGATTATATGCTTTAATTATAAGTTGCTTACCTGTAACTGTAGTTTCCTGAGTAGTCACCTGCGAATGTGTACATTTGGCGCCGGAATCTTTTAGCCAGCCATGGCCAAGGCGCGCTTCCAGGAGGGGAAGCAAGCGCCCCGGGCGCTCGAGATAGCCCTCAAGGAAAGGTTCTCGGTCTTGCCGCTGCCGGTATCGATCAGATATGGTGGATACATGTTGTTTTGCATAGGCATCGTAGACATAGGAGCTTGATTGGGCATCATATGGCCCAAGTGTCCATCTTGCCAAAAACCTGGATGTGGGTAATGACCCATGGATGGTTGGCCCCTGTGACGTCTTGGCACTCTCGAAGGAGGAGATGATGAAGATGATGATGAGGGGGAGTGACCACAGGCCCCGCCTCTTGAGGCCGATCAATACCTCCGGCGGCAAGACCGAGAAGTTTTCCTTGAGGGTGATCTCGAGCGCCTGGGGCGCTTGCTTCCCCTCCTGGAAGCGCGCCTTGGCCATGGCTGGCTAAAAGATTCCAGCGCCAAATGTACGATTCGCAGTGACTACGACAGGAAACTTGTTTTTATATATGCTTTATATTGATTGTTTTTAATGGTACTTCTATGAATGCATGACATCGAATTGTGCCAATCTGTAACCCACCTTGAGTCACCGTATGGCTGAAAAAGGCGGGCTATAAATATCGTAAATAAATATAACATAAATGTTATGTGTTTGCAAGAGACCCACAAGAAGAGCAGTGATAAGACACCATTGTTTAACTATAGCGGGGTGGAGCACAGATTTTAAAAGTGCAGTGGAGTTGGATTGATGTTTCATGATAGCCCGGATTGCCTATCATTGTAACACATTTTCATCTGTTCCCATTTTCCAGATCCGCCGCCATTGGGGCGGGAATGTCCTGGGGCCGAAGTCTGTGGCCCGCATTGCCAAGTTGGAAAAGGCAAAAGCCAAGGAATTGGCCACGAAGCTCGGGTAGCGGCAACTGAGGGGACTTCCGTGGTATTTTTTTCTGTACATACAAATAAAAAGCCTGAACAGAAAATTGACTCAGAGGAGTCTTTTATTTCCACCCTGTTCCATAGAAGCCCCTTTCCTTCAGAAAGAGTCTTTTCCTTAACAGAAAAGACTGCGACTGCAGCCTTCACTCCTAAGAGTTCAGTGAACATTTTTAAGAAATAAGGAAGTCATGATTTTACTTAGTGCTGCTTGAAAGAACCGGATTTTGTTTCTACTGCAAAAACATAGGAATCCTTGTTGCTTCCTGTCGCATTAGCCAAGTTCCCGCTCAAGGATTCCCATGAATCGCCCTTTGTGTTCTCCTATTTCAACCCACTTAGATGGGTTTCAGAAGCATCTGCCCTTGGGTTTCCAGGCAAATCTTGCCTCCTTTTCCTCCATGAAGGGAAGCAAGGAAGTCGCTGTGAGTCCTTCCCTGGCAGGAGTGAATTCCTCTGGGAGGAAGTGGGGCCCAGGCACCCCTGCAGACCTAGCGGGGGACCTTCTGGATGAACTTCTTATACCACAGGAAGGAGGTGGCTGCGCACAAGCCGTACCTGCAAGGAGGAGGGAAGGAGAGGGTTAGGGGCCAACAGGATTAAGAAAGACCAGAATCAAGACTGCCTAATACACGCCACCCAGGCTAAGGGTGTCTCCAAGGCAGCAAACAATGCAAAGGAACAAAGACCAGGCTACTTCTATAATAACAATAATAGTCTCCAGTCAGGAAGGAATCAAGGGCCAGTGAGCGCCACCCAGACTAAGGATGTCTCCAATGCAGCAAATGCATCAAAGGGCAGATTATTATTATTATTATTATTATTATTATTATTATTATTATTATTTCTTCAGGCAGGAAGCAGTCAAGGGCCAGGGAGCGCCACCCAGGCTAAGGATGTCTCCAATGCAGCAAACACATCAAAGGGACCAAAGGGCAGGCTACTTTTTATTATTATTGTTGTTCTGGAACAGCTGTTCCAGGAGCTCCAGATTTATTTGCTGCGTTTATAAATGTTTGTGTGCAATCCCATGCTTGGGATTTTGCAGCAGGGGGTTTCCTGTTATAATTTGCATTTATACGGTAAGCCACCTGCCAATTATAGTTAGGATTCCTGGTCCCGCCCCTTTTTTGCTTTTTGGAGGGAAAGGGCCATTTTTCAGTTAGTTACAGCAAGGGAAACCAAGGCAGAGGATGCATACAGACATTCCTCCTGTGCAAAAGCTTCATCTTTTAAGACTTCCTGGGGAAGAACAGATTGAAGGCCTCTACAGATTCCCAAAGGGTTCCAGGGAACAGCTTTACAGCCCTGAGGACCTCCGAAGGGAATAACAGCTCTTCATCTTCAGCTAAGTGATTTCAAGCCTGCTGGTACGTTTGTTTGGTTCTGAGATGCAGTTCAGCCAGTAGCAGACTCAAACCAGTCAGGTTTAAGTTCACAGCAGCCTGGGAGGAGCTTTAAAGGGGATTTTTTCTGTTAAACAACATTTCTTGAAGATACTGCCTGTTTCCTGCAAACAAGACTGCAAAAGCCAATAGACTATTTAGAAATTTTACAATTCCTGCTTGTTCATTAATAAAGACTGTTGTATTTAAGCTTAAGTCTCCTAAAGCCTGTTTAATAGGAGAAATTCCTCTAAAGGTTCTTTCTCGGGCCCCCAGGTTTCCCGCTGGACGCAAGCCTTGCATCCTCTTTTAGAAGCATTTAATTTCGGCTTCAGCGGCGACAGAATAATTGTTATTATTATTATTACTTCTTCAGGAAGGAAGCAGTCAAGGGCCAGGGAGTGCCACCCAGGCTAAGGATGTCTCCAATGCAGCAAACATGTCAAAGGGACCAAAGGGCAGGCTACTTTTAAAATAATAATAATAATAATTTATTATTATTATTATTATTATTATTTCTTCATGCAGGAAGCAAAGGATGCCGCCAAAAAAGAAACCTTACAAAAGGAGTAAAGGCCAGGGAACTAATAATAATAATGCCTGCAGGCAGGAAGCAACCAAGGGCCGGGAAACACCACCCAGGCCAAGGATGCGTCCAGGAAATCAACACTCCAAGGGAACCAAGGCCTAGCTACTTCCAGGCAGATGCCTTCACTATGAGTTAAGCAATCTTCACAGTTACTCCCATGCTAATAGCTTGCTAATTGCCCTCTTTGGGTCCTTTCTTCCCTCCCTGGACATTATTCCACGGGGATATTATTGCCTCCACTGGCTTGACTCCCATCAGATCCTATGAAGATGCCAGGAGACACAGGTGCAGGCAGAACGTATAAAGGAGCAAATGCTACTAGGACACCTTCTGGGATCCCAACTGAACCATCCCCTTACAAGCTTTCAAAACAAAGCCGCTCGCACCAGAAGTCCAACCGTTGACTCACCAGGTCAGGATGTATTGCAGGTGCTCGTTGCGGAGGGTCACCCGCGTCTGGCCTCCGATGGGGCCTCCGGGAACTGTGCTCTCTGCGGGAAGAGGTGAAGGCAGCTGCCGTCAGGCCCATGTTATGGTTGGGAGGGCTCCCAAGAAGCGGCATTGTTATTTCTTCCCCCCAAAAACCCTGCCCAGAAAGGGTTTGCCATTGCGTTCCGCTGGAGCAGATTATAGTCCCATTCTACACTGACCATGTAATCCCGTTTCTGAATCCACTGCCATACAATCCAACTCAAAGCAGATCAATCATCTGGATTCAGAAACTGGATTGTTCTATGTCACACAGTGACTTTTGCTCCTGGGTTATCTATGCCAATAATAATAATAATAATAATAATAATAATAATAATAATAATAATAATAATACAATAAATCATATAATATGCTAGCAGTTCCCTGCCACGCATTGCTGTCTGTGTATATGTGTTTTCGGTGTGCATATATTTGTGTATATGTGTTTGCATATATATGTGTGTGTGTTTTTTTGCACGTGTTGTAATGTATTTTTTATTTTTTGGCTTTTTAAGTCTCTTCCACTGTGTTTTTCAGTGTTTTTATGAGTGATGGTCACTCATCGGCCTGATAGGTGTATTGTGTCCAAATTTGGTGTCCATTCGTCCAGTGGTTTTTGAGTTATGTTAATCCCACAAACAAACATTACATTTTTATTTATATAGACTAACTGTCTCCTGCCACACGTTGCTGTGGCCCAGTCTGTGCATATGTGTTTTGTGTGTGTATATATTTGTGTAGGGTAAAGGTTTTCTCCTGACATTGAGTCCAGTTGTGTCCGACTCAGGTGGGTGGTACTCATCTCCATTTCTAAGCTGAAGAGCCGGCGTTGTCCGTAGACACCTCCAAGGTCATGACTGAATGGAAAGCCGTTATCTTCCTGCCGGACCTGTACCTATTGATCTACTCACATTTGTATGTTTTAGAACTGCTAGGTTGGCAGAAGCTGGGGCTAACAGCAGGAGCTCATGCTGCTCCCTGGATTTGAACCTGCAACATATATGTGTTTGCATATATGTGTGTGTGTGTGTGTGTGTGTGTGTGTGTGTATGGTTTTGTGCATACTTTGTAATGTATTTTTATTTTTTGGCTTTTTAAGTCTCTTCTGCTGTGTTTTTCAGTGTTTTTATGAGTGATGGTCACTCATCGGCCTGATAGGTGTATTGTGTCCAAATTTGGTGTCCATTCGTCCAGTGGTTTTTGAGTTATGATAAATGAACTCAAATAAATAATTTTTATTATTATTATTATTATTATTATTATTATTATTATTATTATTATTTCTATATAATTAATTGTTATCAATAACCACACCTATATAACACAATTTTTGTCCCTGGGTTTGTGGTGGTGTTGTTATCATCAACATCATCATCATCATTATTTACATCATATTATTATGATTATATTAGCTGTCCCCAGGCCACGCATTGCTGTGGCCCAGTCTGTATATATGTGTTTTGTGTGTCTATGTATGTCTATATAGGTGGTTTTGCGCATGTATTGTAATGTAATTTTTTTGGCTTTTTAAGTCCCTTCCGCTGTGTTTTTCAGTGTTTTAATGACGGTCACTCATTGGCCTGAGAGGTGTCTTGTGTCCACATTTGGTGTCAATTCGTCCAGTGGTTTTTGAGTTATGTTAATCCTACAAACTAGCATTACATTTTTATTTATATAGATAGATGACCCCAAATAAATAAATAAATAAATAAATAAATAAAATATTGTTATATATAATTAATTATTATCAATAACCACACCTATGTAACACAATTTTTGTCCCTGGGTTTGTGGTGTTGTCATCATCATCGTCATCTACATCATATTATCACTATTATATTACATTGTGTCGCACAATGATTTTTGTCCCTGGGTTATCAATGCCATTATTTCCTAATTGGTCCCATTATTAAAGCATGTCTTTGCAGGAGGGACACCCTGCTGTAGAACATTTTGCAATCATTTTCCAATTAATATCTCACTGGAGAAAAGCGGGATGGAAATCAAAAAATGAATAATAATAAAATAACAATGTGGTCTCCACCAATGCAACCTAGCTTGTGGCAGGAGGAGAACAACTCCTTTCAAAGGAAGGATTTTGCAATAAAATATGAATGAAACACTTTCAAACCAGAAACAGAACATTTTCCGAATGCTGTGACAATGTGCATGGCCCGATATGACTTGCTTACTGTGGTCGGCATCGATGCAGATGGGCTCAGCCCCAGTCGCCCGTGCCATGGCCTCTAGGTCCCGGTAGTGCCAGCGGTTCCTCTCGGTGTCGTTTTCCGGCACAAAGGGCTGCCGGGACTCGGACAGCCTCACCACCCCCGTCAGCTCCAGCTCCCCTTCGACCTGGAAGGCAATGGCTGCTCATAACAGGGTGCGGGATGTGCCAGACGAGACTGGGCCCAGGCCCAGGCTCACAGGCCAGAGGGAAAGCCCCAGATCCCTCTTCCTCCTGCACAGAAGAGACGCCCAGGTGCCATCAAGGGGGCTCTCTCCTCTCATCATCATCATCATTTTACTGGCACAAAAACACAGTATGACACAGCAAACGAGATATTATTATTACTATGCCATCAAGAGGGCTCTGTCCTGGTCCTTGAAAGGCTGTTCAACATCTATTATTATTATTATTATTATTATTAGTAGTAGTAGTAGTAGTAGTAGTATAAACACCACAAGGTGAGTCCACAGCAAACAAGATTACTCTCCTGGATCACATTATTATTATTATTATTATTATTTTATTATTATTATTGGCATGGAACCAATTAAGAAACGACATTGATAACACGTCAGATACTTCCTAAGTGTCTAGGACTGTGTGATGTATCGGCAAATAATGCGTGCAGATCCCAGTAAGGTGGCCTTCTGCAGCTGGCAGGTGGTAATTTTGTCAGCGCCGATTGTGTTTAAGTGCAGGCCAAGGTCTTTAGGCACTGCACCCAGTGTGCCAATCACCACTGGGACCACCTTGACTGGCTTGTGCCAGAGGCTTTGCATTATTATTAGTAGTAGTAGTAGTAGTAGTAGTATGCCATCAAGAGGGCTCTGTCTTGGGCCTTTGACAGTTGTTCAACATCTATTATTATTATTATTATTATTATTATTATTATTATTATTATTATTATTATTATTATTATTAGAAACATAACAAGATGAGTCCACAGCAGACAAGATCACTGCTGGCTGTTGTATTGGACCACACGTGTCTCGGACTGTGTGATGCATCGGCAAATAATGTGTGCAGTAGGGTGGCCTTTTGCAGCTGGCAGGTGGTGATTTGGTCAGTGCCAATTGTGTTTAAGTGTAGGCCAAGGTCTTTAGGCACTGCACCCAGTGTGCCGATCACCACTGGGACCATTATTATTTTTATGATATGAGAGAAGACTCCCACAGGATTGTAACACATCCGGGCAACGTCCTCTGCCTGTTTTATTGGATCCCATGTCGGACCCTTCCCAAGTGTCTAGGACTGTGTGATGTGCTGGCAAGTAATGCGTGAAGATCCCAATACGGTGGCCTTTTGCAGCTGGCAGCTGGTAATTTTGTCAGTGCCAATTGTGTTTAAGTGCAGGACAAGGTCTTGAGGCACTGAGACCCCCTTGACTGGCTTGTGGTGGAGTCTTTGCAGTTGTTGTTGTTGTTGTTATTGTTATTATTATGCCATCAAGAGGGTCCTGTCCTGGACTTTTCGGGGTTCTTCAGGATCTTTATTAAGGACAGGAAAGGAGATTCCACTTGAACATTAGAAAGACCTTCCTTTCTGTAAGAAGAGTGGTTCAGCAGAGGAACTCTCTGCTTCAGAGCACAGTGGAGGCTCCTTCCTTGGAGGCTTTGAAACAGAGGAAGGATGGCCATTTGTGTGTGTGTGTGTGTGGGGGGGGGGGGGGGCTTGGATGGTGCTTTTCCTGCATGAAGGCAGAAAGAAGGGGGTTGGACTAGATGGCCTTTAGAGGTCCCTCCCGACCCCTTCCCTCACCTGTCCTTTCATCCTTGTCTCCGGATTCAGTTTCTTCTTGGAGACAAAACCTCTATTGACGAGGATTGTGATTCTGGGAAGAAGGAGGAGAGTTTGAATCAAAGGACACAGGTGGCCACCCAACCTTTGTAATAAATAATAATAATAATAATAATAATAATAATAATAATAATAATAATAATAAAGCACGATCCACCCACTCCAACCCCCTTTATTCTGCCTTCATGCAGGGAAAACACAACCAAAGCACACCCAGCAGATGGCCACCCAGCCTTTGTAACAACAACAACAACAATAGGAATCCCAGGATCCACCCAGTCCAGCCACCATCTGCCTTTATGCTGGGAAAGCACGCTCAAAGCACCCCCAACAGATGGCCATCCAGCTTAAATGATAATAATAATAATAATAATAATAATAATAATAATAATAATAGTTAGAAGAGACCATCAAAGGGCATCCAGTCCAATTCCTTTTATTCCGCCATGGAGGGAAAGCACAACCAAAGCACATCCAGCAGATAGCTACCCAGCCTTTGTAACAACAACAACCCCAGAAGCCATCCAGTCCAACCTCTTATTCTGCCATGCAGGAAAAGCACAATCAAAGCACACCCAACAGGTGGTCACCCAGCCTTTGTAATAGGAATAATAATAATAATAATAATAATAATAATAATAATAATAATAATAATAGCAGTTCCAGGACCACCCAGTCCAACCACCTTCTGCCTCTATGCAGGTAAAGCACAATCAAAGCACCCCTAACAGATGGCCATCCAGCTTCTATTATAAGAATGGTTGGAAGAGATCCTCGAAGGGCATCCAGTCCCATTCTCTTTATTCTGCCCTGCAGGGAAAGCACAACCAAAGCACACCCAACAGGTGATCACCCAGCCTTTGTAATAGTAATAATAATAACAACAGCAGTCCCAGGATCCACCCAGTCCAACCACCTTCTGCCTCTATGCAGCAAAGCACAATCAAAGCACACCTAACAGGTGGTCACCCAGCCTTTGTAGTAGTAGTAGTAGTAGTAATAATAATAATAATAATAATATAGCAGTCCCAAGATTCACCCAGTTCAACCACCTTCTGCCTTTATGCAGAAGCACCCCCAACAGATGGCCATCCAGCTTCAATAATGATAATAATAATGATAATAATAATAATGAGAGTTGGAAGAGACTCTCAAAGGGCATCCAGTCGAACCCCCTTTATTCTGCCTTCATGCAGGGAAAGCACAACCAAAGTACCACCAACACATGGCCACCCAGCCTTTGCAGTAATACAATAATAATGATCATAATAGCTTTCAGGCCTCCTGTCGGGGGGTGGGACTCACCCAAGGTCTGTGCAGTGGAAGGGGGTGAGGACGTTGGCCCCACTCTCTGGGCTGGACAGGATCCGCCCCGCGTCCCTTGCCTCCTTCCCGGGGTCGACCAGCGAGCGCGGCAGGAGGAACAGCTCCTTGGAGTGGTCAAAGTGCCCCCGGACCGTCACCGGGCGGTACTCCAGGTCCCGCAACTCCAAGGGGCTGAAGGAAGGAGAAGGAATATCTGTTGAATCGGCCATTAAGGGGTGCAGCTCTTTCCTTTTCAATGCCGTTCGTACCCGTATGGACTCGAGCCGCATAAATGACCTTCCTTAAATTAGGGCGTAGGTTAGATTGGCTTTATTCTTATTTTAATTTTTTTAATTGAAGAGAAAAAAAGATACAAACATATTAACAAACAGAAACATGTACTGTCAAAGGCTTTCATGGCTGGAATCACTGGGTTCTTGTATGTTTTTGGGGCCATAATCCAGAAGTTTATTGTCTGGAGTTCCCCTGTTTTTAAATGTTGTTCTTTATTTACTATTATGATTGTAGAATTTTACCAGTATTCAAAAACTCTAAAAACAGTAAATAATGAAAAACAGGGGAACTCCAGACAAGAAACAATCAGTGACAGTTAATCACCTCTCAACAAAGGATTCTCCCAGGAAGTAAGAAGCCACACCTTGAAATTGCTAGGGCATTAAATGCTAATCAAGGCGGCCAACTGAAACATTCACACTGGCCTCCAACAGACAAGAGTTCTTTCTCCCACCCTGGACATCATTCCACAGATATATATGCCATCAGCTGGAGACCCCTCCCCCCAGCACCAACTGCCGCTCTGGGCCGGAGTGAAGAGAGCGGGGGCCAGGGGACAGTTCCACCTTGTCTCCTGTGCTATTCTAATAATTTAATATAATATAATATATATTGTATCAACATATAATATTTATAATATTATAATGTAATGCAATATAATACTAATAATAACATGATATTATAATTATATATTTATATTACATGTAATATTACTAATAATATTTCAATATAATTGGTATAGTATAATATAGCAATATTTAAAACTGATATTGTACTATGCTAATAATATAATATATTGTATGTATATATACCTTGTAAGCCGCTCTGAGTCCCCTTCGGGGTGAGAAGGGCGGCATATAAATAAATAAATAATAATAATATAAACCCCATTTTCCTAGTTTCCAACAGACCTCACAACCTCTGAGGATGCCTGCCACAGATGCAGGAGAACTATCAGGAGAGAATGGTTCTGGAACAGGGCCAAGCAGCCCAGAAAACTTCAAACAGAAACATATACAAGGAAACATATTGAAAGAGGATCTGCATCTAGGAAGTACACCATAACAAAGGCTTTCTCTTAATGTATACAGCTAAAAGTCCATCTCAGAATGGAATTGTTGGCCCCAACTGCACTGGCATATAAGTTGATGACAACTGATAAAGTCAATAAAGATACAGTATCATATAATCATTTAGCATTCTACAATTTATATACATACTAACCGTCCCCTGCCATGTGTTGCTGTGGCCCAGTCTGTGTATATGTGTGTTTGCGTATATATATGTGTGTGGTTTTGAGCATGTGTTGTAATTTTTGTTTTTTTGTTTTTTTAAGTCCTTTCCGCTGTGTTTTTCAGTATTTTTATGAGTGATGGTCACTTGTTGGCCTGATAGCTGTCTTGTGTCCAAATTTGGTGTCAATTCGTCCAGTGGTTTTTGAGTTATGTTAATCTCACAAACGAACATTACATATTTATTTATTTATATAGACTAGCCGTCCCCTGCCCTTGCGTTGCTGTGGCTCAATCTGGTGATTTGGAAAATAAAGTAATGAGAAAGTGAGAAAGTTTCTAATATTTGTAATTTCTTTATGCTTGTGGGGAAATAGTGTTTCTTGCTGTTTCTTTGTCAGTGTTGATGTGGATACTGTCTGGTTTGCCTACTCTGGAACATTCAACATATCATTGTCCTCCTTTAGAGGTCCATTTCAAATCTTTGATACTGCATCTGTCATATGCATTTGTTGTGTGTGTGTGTGAAACATATCTATCTATATCTATGGCTGGATGGTTCTTTGTCAGGAGGACTTTGATTACGTTTTCTTGCCCTGGTGAAGGGAGTTGGACTGGGTGGCCTTAAATGTTTTTTGTTGTTCATGGGGGTCCTGTGTGGGAAGTTTGCCCCAATTCTGTCGTTTGTGGGGTTCAGAATGCTCTTTGAGTGTAGGTGAACTATAAATCCCAGCAACTACAACTCCCTAATATCAAGGTCTATTTCCCCCAAACTCCATCTGAGTTCATATTTGGGCATATGGAATATTCGTGCCAAGTTTGGTCCAGATCCATCACTGTTTGAACCTACAGTGCTCTCTGGATAGGTGAACTACAACTCCCGAATTCAAGGTCAATGCCCACCAAACTCTTTCAGTATTTTCTGTTGATCATGGGAGTTCTGTGTGCCAAGTTTGGTTCAATTCCATCGTTGGTGGAGTTCAGAATGCTCTTTGATTGTAAATCCCAGCAACTACAACTCCCAAATGACAAAATCATTTTTTTAGTGATGGTCACTCCTTAGGTTACTAGATGTCTTGTGGCCAATTTTGGATTTTGAGTTATGATGTCACTCAAAACGGAGCATTTATATATATATATACACACACGAGAGTTGAATGAAAAGTAATGCCTCCACCTTTGTTATTTAGGTTTGGATGGGAATATTTTAATAAATCAAACGCAGAAACATTCCTTAGAATGTGCTCTTTAATTACCACTATTCACTTTTCCACATAATCACCAGACAAGTGGATACATTTCTGCCAACGATGAACAAGTTTTCTGAAGCAGTCATGGCAGAAGTTGACACTGTTTCTGCAGCCCATTGTGCACAGACCTTCCAATAGCCAAGCAAAGCAATAATGTGGCCCACACGTTCTTGTGAAATGCTGATTATGCTTGAAATTTCTGAGTGATACGACGATCATCCAGAATCAACCTGTCAACCTTTTGCTTGTGAAACTCGGTGGTTGCTGTCACAAGACGTCCAACTCTTTGTTTGTCATGCAAGTCAGATGTTACCACCTCAACATCTTTAAACTTACTCGCCCAATGGCGCAAAGTACTCACATCAACACAATCACTATAAACAGCTTGCATTCTCTGATGAATCTCCTGTGGGGTGACACCTTCTGCTGTCAAGAATTCAATGATTGCACGTTGCTTAAGTCGCATTGATGACCATCTGCGCAAGGTTCCAAACTTCGCACTTTAACAACACCATTCAATGCTAAAGCTTCCCGCCAAAATGGAACTGTAGAGAGTCTACTGAACAAGCCAGTACCTGCCGCATACTAGTACTGCCATTTGTTGGAGTTACGAAGGTGGAGGCATTACTTTTCATTCAACCCTCGTGTTATATACTATATATATTATATATATAGTTATGCTTATGATTATTTTTGTTTTAACTATCACATTGTTGTAAGCTGCTCTGAGTTCCTTTTGGGGAGAGGTGAGATATAAATAAAGTTATTATTATAGTTATTATTATTATTGTTATTATTATTGTTATTACTACTACTATTTCTCCTCCGTTCTCTCTACTCACTCTGTAGGGAGCGGTACTGGATCCATCAACACCTGGGACTGTAAGTCGGCGATCATTCTCAGCTTCCGTTTCCGGCGCTGAATCTGAAGGAAGGAAGGATGGACGGAAGGAACAGGCTGTGAGGACACAATGCATTCCCCTGCATAGAATCCTACAATTGGAAGAGACCTGGTGGGCCATCAAGTCCAACCACATTCTGCCAAGAAACAGGAACATCGCATTCAAAGCACCCTCCCCCGCCCCCGACAGACAACTTGCCAATGAAGCCTTCTCTCTCTGCAGAGTATGTGACCGTCCAGCCCCTTCTTTTTCCCTGTGAGGGGAAATTTGGCTTTTATGTTCATTATGTAAGACTCTGGAAGATCTTCAAATTGAAATCAAGCTCACAACAACAATACGTTGGAGACAAGTGATTTATTTCCTTCTTTCCACAATCCTAAAGACAGTTCTAAAAAGACACCCTGAAATATAGAAACCCAACTTCCACCTGCCCTCTGGTGGCTAAACACTGTGGCCATAAGTCTCTTAATTTATTGTCGAAGGCTTTCATGGCCGGAATCACTGGGTTGTTGTAGGTTTTTCCGGGCTATATGGCCATGTTCTGGAGGCAATTTTTCTCCTGACGTTTCGCCTGCATCTATGGCAAGCATCCTCAGAGGTAGTGAGGTCTGTTGGAAGTAGGAAAAATGGGTTTATATATCTGTGGAATGACCAGGGTGGGACAAAGGACTTTTGTTTGCTGGGGCTAGATGTGAATGTTTCAGCTGATCACCTTGATTAGCATTCAATGGCTTGGAAGTGCCCGGGGAGAATCCCTTGTTGAGAGTGATTTTATGTGCCTGTTTGTTTCCCCTCTGTTGTTTTGCTGTTGTGATTTTTGAGTCCTTTAATACTGGTAGCCAGATTTTGTTCATTTTCATGGTTTCTTCCTTTCTGTTGAAATTGTCCACATGCTTGTGGATTTCAACGGCTTCTCTGTGTAGTCTGACATGGTGGTTGTGAGAGTGGTCCAGCACTTCTGTGTTCTCAAATAATATGCTGTGTCCAGGTTGGTTCATCAGGTGCTGATGATCTCCCCCAGCAGCTTCATGTAAATCAGTGTTTCCCAACCTTCCAAATACCACGACCCCTTTATACAGTTCCTCATGTTGTGGTGACCCCTAACCATGAAAATATTTTTGTTGCTACTTCATAACTGTAATTTTGCTGCTGTTATGAATCGTAATGTAAATATCTGATATGCAGGATGTACTTACATTCACTGGTCCAAATTTGGCACAAATACCCAATATGCCCAAATTTGAATACAGGTGGGGTGGGTGGGTGGGGGGGGATGGTTGATCTTGTCATTTGGGAGTTGTAGTTGCTGGGATTTATAGTTCACCTATACTCAAAGAGCATTCTGAAATCCACCAATGATGGCATGCAGAACTCCAATGAGCAACAGAAAATACTGGAAGGGTTTGGTGGGCATTGACCTTGAGTTTTGGAGTTGTTGTTCACCTACATCCAGAGAGCACTGTGGACTCAAAACAATGATGGATCTGGACCTAACTTGGCACAAATACTCAATATGCCCAAATTTGAACACTTGTGGAGTTTGGGAGGAAATAGACCTTGACATTTGGGAGTTGTAGCTGCTGGGATTTATAGTTCACCTACAATCAAAGAGCAGTTCCAATGCTCTCTGGATGTAGGTGAACTACAACTCCCAAACTCAAGGTCAATGCCCACCAAACCCTTCTAGTGTTTTCTGTTGGTTATGGGAGTCCTGTATGCCACGTTTGGTTCAATGCCATAATTGGTGGAGTTCAGAATGCTCTTTGATTGTAGGTGAACTATAAATCCCAGCAACTACAACTCCCAAATGACAAACTCATTTTTTTAGTGATGGTCACTCCTTGGGTCAGTAGGTGTCTTGTGGCCAAATGTGGCGGCAATTCATCCAGAGTTATGTCAATCCCACAAACGAACATTACATTTTTATTTATATAGATTATTATCTCTATTTCTAAGCCAAAGAGCCGGCTTTGTCCGCAGGAACCTCCAAGGTCATGTGGCCACTGGCAGGACTGCGTGCATACATTTTACTTATATAGATTATTATCTCTATTTCTAAGTCCGCAGGCACCTCCAAGGTCATGGCTGCATGGAGGGCCATTACCTTCCCGCCAAAGCTGTACCGCGTTTTCGAATAGTTAGGTTGGCAGGAGCTGGGGCTGACAGCAGGAGCTCACCCCGCTTCCCGGATTCGAACCGTCAACCTTTCGGTCAGCAAGTTCAGTGCGCCTGAGGCCCTTCTCCCGCTCCGCCCTCGCTGGCCTCACCTGCCAGGTGCCGAGCCCGAAGGCAGCGGTGGGGATGAGCAGTAGGCCCCACTTCAGCGCCTCCGCCTCCTCCGCCTGGACCGCTCCAGCTCGGCTCGAGGCAGGCCGCGGCGGACCCAGCGCGAGGAGGCCCCGGCCCAGCCTGGTCTTCCCCAGAAACAGCCGCCGCAAAGCCATGGCCCTCTCCGCACCCCACTTCCGCTCCCGCGGCTTCCGCCAGAAAGGGGCTCCCCGCCCAAATGGCTGACGCGACTACCGCCCAGCCAACCAGCAGCCGCCGATGGTTCCCTCGTCTTCCCATTGGCTGCTCCCTTCGCCGGCCCCGCCCACTACCAACAGCGATTACCCCGCCAACCAGCCTCTTTCCATAGATTCGTAGGCAAAGCCAATCAGTAGCAGCCATTGCTCCAGCTCTTCTATTAATTCTTCCCATTGGCTGCTCCCTTCATCGGCTCGCCCACTAACAACATAGTTCCGCCTCTTCCATTAACCCTCCTATTGGCCACTCCTTTTGCTGATCCAGCCAACCAGCAGCAGCCATTGCTCAGCCTTTTCCATTAGACGTTCTTCCTATTGGCCGCTTTCTTCATCAAACCAGCCAAGCAGCTATGGTCCCGCCTCTTCTATTAGACGTTCTTCCTATTGGCTGATCCCGCCCACTATCAACCGTTATTATTCCAATGTATTGTCGGAGGCTTTCATGGCTGGAATCACTAGGTTCTTGTAGGTTTTTTCGGGCTATAGGGCCATGTTCTAGAGGCATTTTCTCCTGACGTTTCGCCTGCATCTATGGCAAGCATCCTCAGAGGTAGTGAGGTCTGTTGGAATTAGGACAATGGGTTTATATATCTGTGGAATGGCTGGGGTGGGGCAAAGAGCTCTTCTCTGCTGAGCTAGGTGTGAATGTTTCAGCTGACCACCTTCATTAGCATTTGAAAGCCTGGCTGAGCCTGGGAAAATGTTCTGTTGAGAGGTGTTAAGATGTGCCTGGTTGTTTCCTCTCTGTTGTTTTGCTGTTGCAATTTTAGAGTTTTTTAATACTGGTAGCCAGATTTTGTTCATTTTCATGGTCTCTTCCTTTCTGTTGAAATTGTCCACATGCTTGTGGATTTCAATGGCTTCTCTGTGTAGTCTGACATGGTGGTTGTGAGAGTGGTCCAGCATTTCTGTGTTCTCAAATAATATGCTGTGTCCAGGCTGGTTCCTCAGGTGCTCTGCTATGGCTGACTTCTCTGGTTGAAGTAGTCTGCAGTGCCTTTCATGTTCCTTGATGCGTGTTTGGGCAACGCTGCGTTTGGTGGTCCCTATGTAGACTTGTCCACAGCTGCATGGTATACGGTAGACTCCTGCAGAAGTGAGAGGATCCCTCTTGTGATCCTGAAAGGCACTGCAGACTACTTCAACATGAAACGTGAACATGAAAGGCACTGCAGACTACTCCAACCAGAGAAGTCAGCCATAGCAGAGCAGAGCACCACCTCTTCCATTAGACCTTCCTCCTATTGGCCACGCCCTTCGCCGATCAGCCAACCAGCAGCAGGCATTGCTCCGCCTCTTCCATTAGACCTCCTTCCTATTGGCTGCTTTCTTTGCCTGCCCCGCCCCTCGTCCAGTACGCCTTCATCCTATTGGCTGCTCCCCTTCTTGACCCAGCGAAGCAGCAATAGCCGTTATCCCGCCTCTTCTATTAGGCCTTCTTCCTATAGGCTGCTTCCTTCGTCACCCCAGCCTATCAGCTTCTTTGACTAGGGTCTTCCTCCTATTGGCTGTCCTTTTTCCGGCCCAGCCAACCGGCCGCGTTTTTCATAAGGCCCCCTTCCCATTGGCCGTCCCTTCCCCGGCCCCGCCCACCCACAGCCATGAGGGAAGATGGCGGCGCACTGGGCGAGGAGGAGGCATCGCTGCGGCGTTTCCTGGCGGCGCACCCGGCCTTGGGCGCCCTCCCCTCCGGGAACAGGGTCAGCGCAGGCCGGGGATAGGGTGGGGTGGGATAGGCCTACTTCCCTTCCTTCCTTCCCCGTCCCCTCCATCCTGACGGGCCTCTCTTTCCTTCCTTCCCCGGCCAGGTACGCTGCGCCCTGAGCGGCCACGAGCTGCCCCTCAGCCTCCCGGCGCTGGAGGCCTACGTCGCGGGGAAGAAGTACCGCCGGCTCCGGGCGAGGAGGGAGGCCGACCTCGGGCCCCACGCCCAGCACCTCGTGCCCAGCCGCACCAGGCCGTGAGTTCCGGGAAGGGGGGACTTCCGGGGAGATATTTCCGGACGGAAAGGGGAGGGAGATCAATAGAAATGACTATTACTTCCTCACAGCCCACCAGAATTAATAATAATTTGTGGGGGTTGAACTCCTGGAGGGAGGGACCAAGTTTGCCCATGCCTGATCTATGGCTTGGGTGGCCATCTGCCAAGAGGGCATGAGTAGGGGCTGCGTAGGTCAACAGCAAGTTAGAGTACTAAGGGTCAGGAGCTCACCCCTTTATGGCAGATGGGGGACAGACTGGTCGAAGCAAGATTGAGGAAGTCTTGATTCGGCAGTCCTATTTATTTATATACAGTATTTATAGTATAACTAGCCGTCCCCTGCCACGCATTGCTGTGGCCCACTCTGGTGGTCATGGGGGTTCTGTGTGGGAGGTTTGGCCCAATTCTATCATTGGTCGGGTTCAGAATGCTCTGTTATTGTAGGTGAACTACAAATTCATCATTATCATCATCACTTTATTTCTTAATTAGTCGCTCTCCACCAAGGTGCTCCGAGCGACTTACAGTTTAAAACAGTTTATATACAATATAAAACATTCAATATAAAAACATTCAACATAAGTTCCAGCAACTACAACTCCCAAATGTCACAGTGTTCACATTTGGGCATATTGAGTATTCATGTAGAGTTTGGTCCAGATGCATCATTGTTTGAGTCCACAGTACTCTCTGGATGTAGGTGAACTACAACTCCAAAACCAAAGGACACTGCCCACCAAACCCTTCCAGTATTTTCTGTTGGTCATGGGAGAACTGTGTGCCAAGTTTGGTTCAATTCCATCGTTGGTGGGGTTCAGAATGCTCTTTGATTGTAGGTGAACTATACATCCCAGTAACTACAACTCCCAAATGTCAAGATCATAATTTTTGAGTGATGGTCACTCCTTGTGTTGTGAGACGTTTTGTTCCCAAATTTGGTGTGATTTCGTTCATTGGTTCTTTTGTTTTTAAGATATTCATTACGCACAGAGCATTTATATGTATATATAGATATTACATGTAATATTAGAATGTAATACAATATAATAATATGATATTATAATTATATATTTTATATTACATGTAATATTATTATTAATAATCT